TTGTCCCCCACTATATTAAACAAATACATTATTCCCACTCCATTATGTCTTGTCCCCCACTATATTAAACAAATGCATTATTTCCACTCCATTATGTCTTGTCCCCCACCATGTACTATTGTAATATTATTAATGCCTAGTGGACGGAGCACTCAGATTAAATAATTGTTCAAATTTTCAATTCCAAAAATACCCCTCCGAACTTTCTGAAATTATCATTTTAACCCTGAAAATACTGCAATTATTCTACCCCCATCAACTATAACCAATTCGCCTAATCAATTCTAACCAAAATACAACAGCTATAATCAATTCCTAAACAAATTCAAACAACAAATTCAAACTAAATGATGGACAGCAAAGAAACAAACTGGAATTATTTTGACTGAACAATATTTTTATTTTATTTTTTTCTTTTAACAACAAACCTACTTTTAGATTCAACAACAATAACAAATAAGTAGATTCAAATCACTAAACTCAAAAATCAATTGAACTTCAAATTAAATCTAACACCATTACAACCAAGATAAAGGATTCAAGTGATTAAACTAACACACTTCTATATTAAAACTAAACAAGAACAAATGCATAAAAACAAACTGAAGAAATAATCAAGAAACGACAAACAACGAACAAGAAAAGAATCAAACATACATTGATTTCAGATCTGAGAATATCAAACAAAATACGGACAGAAATGAAACTTAAACCAACTAACCGGATCGGAACAACGATGAACTCGAACGGAAACAAATCTGCCCGAAAACTTTGAAACCAAAATAACTCGAATCTGCCCGGAAAATAACTCGACGAGTAGGAACGCAGCAGTGGCGGCGCTGGGCAGTCCGTAGGGGGGTCGTGTGAAGATGGAGTTCGCTGGGGGTTTCAGGTGGACAGGGCTGGTGGTAACGACGGGACTATGTGTGACGTAGCTTCTAGTCGTGAGGGAACTACTGGTCATTTGGAGACGACGAACTGCACGCGTCGAAGCTGCACGTAGCAGCAATTCACGTCCATGGCTGGAGCCTCGCAACTGGAGGAGCTGGGCGTTCATGGCTTGGGTTGTTGCGGGTGGTCGCTTGGAACGGAGCTCGCTGGCTGCTGTAGGGTGGTTGTGTTGTTTGGTCATGGAAGTTGCTGCTGGTTTGGGGGCGATGAAGAAGACGAGGTTGAAGGGGTGGTAACGATGAAGGAGAAAATGAAGTAGTGGCAACCATGGTCGACGTCCATGGTCGACGTCCATGGTGGTCGACGAAAAAGACGAGGTAGCGAGGTTGTTTGGAGACGACAGACTGTCGTGGTGATGGAGCTGTGTGTGTGTCTGTGTGTGTTGGCGGAGGATGAAGGGGACGACGGGAGAGGGGCAGCCATGGGAGGGGAGCTTTGGGAGTTTTGGAGAAGAAGAGGGAAAGAGAGGGGGGCGGGTGGTTTGTTAGGTTTAGGGTTAGGGAAATGAAAAAATGAAAAATGAAGAAAGGGGTTGGGTCTTTGGGGTTATGGACTGGGTCGACCCGGTTTGAAATGGACCGGGTCGTAGGGGAAGGCTGGGTATTTGGTTTAAAATTTAAAGAAAAGGCACAATCCGATTTCTTCTATTTTTGTTCTTTTCTATTTATTCAATTTCCTAAATAATAAAGCTAAAAATGCTAAGATTAAATTATAAAAACCCAAAATTATCTCAAAAACTCCTAATAACAATTATCGCACATTTAAATAGCAATTAACGATAAAATCACACAATTTGGACGTTAAATGCTAAAAATGCAACGTACATTATTTTTTATGATTTTTTCATTTTGTAAAACAAATTTAATTAAATATTAAATGCAAACGCGACATATTTTTTATATTTTATTAATTTAAACAAATAAACACGCACAGACAAAAATACAAATAATTATCCAAAAATACCACGAAAATTCAAAAATCGCACACAAAGGAAAAATATTTTATTTTGGATTTTTGGGAGTAATTCTCATATAGGGCAAAAATCACGTGCTCACAGCCTTAACATACCTGAATCGTTTCTCTTGAGAATCCTCTAACACGCGTTAATTGCGACAAAACACGGAACAAGTTATATGAAAAGCCTGAAGCAACGACATTGCTTATGCAGAGACAATCTTGATTGAACCATTTTCCTTAAGTAACTTATGAAATGAAAATCTTGATGAAGCTCTTTCAGAACAAAAACGTTACAAAAAGTTTGTTGGAACTGATATTATGAAAGCTTTCATAAGTTTGCTGGAAGGCTTTCACAAGTAACTTATGAAATAAAAGTTTGCTGGAAAGCTTTTTCATAAGATGTTATGGAAAAGTTTGCTGATATTGATTTTTTTGAGATTTTAATCTTAAGTCTAGGTGGCCCCACATAGCAAGCTTAGTGTCTTTAGAGTATGACACCTTTCATTTTCATGAATAGTCATTATGGAATTTAGGAGGGCTTGCCACACTGGGGGGTTAAGTCTTATCCTATGCTTATTTTATTAATTAATTATCCACTAATTTTAATTAACTTATTCATTCCCCCATTAATCAATAATCAACTAATACCCATATAATTAAGAATTATCTCAACTTACTGAAAATATTATTCACTCTTAATACACTTTACGTACCTTACTATCATGGTCATGGGGTACCTTGTATAGCATTAGTCCATAAATACCGGGTATTATGGCTCGGATCGTTTTTTTTCCAAATCGACAACCTTCAACAAAACTCATTTTCTTTAATTCATTTACCCTTTATCTTTCATGGCACTTACTTATCGCTTGATATAAATAGCATAAATACTTTAACCTTAAGATAACCTCATCCCTGCGTCTATGTCGGTTAACTGAAGACAAAAATTTAACGTACGAAAATGCGAGATGTAACATCCTCCCCCCCTTAGAAATATTCATCCTCGAATGTTTAACTCCTCGGGATCTATATAACTTTGGCATAGTCGCCTTTGTAACAACACTACTACCAACTCTTCCTGTAGAAACTCAATAATTCAACGTCACATAGGACCACAATCATAAATAATAACAATGGCCTCACATGACCAATGACAATAACTAACACAAGAATTCATAGACATACCTTAAGGTTATGACGCCTCAGTCGGACCCTTCTCTGGAGGAGGAAATAAGTAGGGATATCTAGACTTCATATCTTCCTCGGCCTCCCAAGTCATTTCTTCCACATTGTTGTTTCTCCAAAGTACTTTCACTGAAGCTACATCTTTAGTTCTCAATCTCTGAACCTGTCCGTCTAATATAGCAATGTGAGTTTCTTCATATCATAGCTTCTCTGTGACCTGAACGTCGTCATCTGACATTGGGGATTCTAAACTAACCCCTTTTTTTGGAATTTTCTTCTTATTTCTCTTTTCATTTTTTTAATTATTTTTTTTGTTAAGTAAAAAAATGCAGGAAAGAATTTGGAGGAAACTTCCCTTTTTGGTTGATTCCTTGCTGCAAAGCTGTTTCTTGCACTTGTGCATTTCTTTTCCCTTTGGTTGCACCTGTTTCTTGAACGATTGCTTTGGATTGCACCTGTTTCAATTTTCCAAATAAAGAACAATTGTCAGTTTGAAAACGGTGGTTGATTCGGTGGCCTTGATCATTCAAATTGCTTGGTCCCGGCCTTATTTCTGTTGAGAAACTTTGCCATTGATTGGCTTCAAAGGCGATCCCCTTTCAAACTGATAAGACTCAAATTTCAGGATTTCATGATGACTCGCCCGTGTAAGGCTTCGGTTCTCATTCCGCTTCCCAGACCTTTGCCTTTGACTTTCTTTTTTTTTTTCAATGCCTTTGCTTTGGAGGTAATCAAACATCATGATCAGTCGGGATTGGACTGACGCACCGCTGAGGCTGGGTATTTTCTTCACCTCTTGCCAGACGGAGCTCTGCGAAACCGGTCCTGCCACCTTTTCTTTCTAACACATTTTGGAATTTAGGGTTAAGCCGAAAGGGATTCAAGGAAATGTAAACAAAGAGCGGAAAAACGAATTTAAAAGAGAAGCGTCCCTTTCGGGGAAAAAGAAGAACTTATCTGAGGTGCATGCTGGCTTCAAACTGACATGACATACTTTTTGGACTGGATGCCCGAATCCTCACGAACTTGCATTTCCTCATGAACCAAAACGGATCTATGTTTCCCAACCAGGGAACCTTGCCAGAACTTTCTATGGTGAAATCATCTTTTCGGCCGACAACGCCCTTTGTGGGTTTTCGCTAGTCGACCTCTCTCATTTCTCTTCTCACCGTCGCCCGATAGTACTTTTTGCGGTTTTTCACTAAACGGACTCTCTCATTCTTGGTTTCTCTACTCTCGTCGCCTCATGGTGCCCGAAGGTTTTCACCGACAAGACACTCTCATTTTATTTCTCTCAATTTTAGAATGCATCGGCTTCCATCCATGATATTTCTTGGTTTCCCCCGCCTTTGGCAATTGATCCGAAAGACTTGTACTTGGTTTTTGGTAAAAAGAATTGTGGATGAAATTACAACTTTGGAACCATTTGGTATGCCCGTGGTTGAACCATTATAACATCTGCCCCAGTTTCAACTTCAGGGAAAATTGGAATTTTGTTTTGGTGTGACTGAACCCCAGAGAGAGGCTGCCTACGTATCCTTTCGGAATCAAGTCAGACGTAGTTCAGGAAAATCATTTTTTTTTGAAACTTTCAGGTTCCAAAGAGGGTAATGAAAGAAAGGTAAAAGACTCAAAGGGTTAGCAAAGGATTGGAGTGTTTGGGGTAACGAGAATGAAAGCCTTCGTCATCCCAATCGGATAATGTTATTGCTGCAGAAGGATTAGACATAGTACCTTTTGACTGCATCTGCATTTACAACTGTTTCAGGATCATTTCCTTCGATATCGCCCAGATACAATGCTCCTCTTGGCAATATCTTTCTGATGACGTATGGGCCCTTCCAATTAGGAGCGAATTTTCCTTTTGCTTCCTGGTGATGGGGAAGAATACGCCTTAAAACGAGTTGCCCCACTTCAAAATTTCTAGGTCGCACTTTCTTGTTATAGGCACGAGCCATTCTTTGTTGGTACAACTGCCCGTAGCAGACCGCAGCCATTCGTTTTTCATCGATCAAGGTTAATTGTTCCAGACGGGTTTTAACCCACTCACTGTCTTCAATTTCGGCTTCAACAATGATTTAGAGAGAGGGGATTTCGACCTCGGCGGGTATTATGGCTTCCGTGCCATAAACCAAAAGATACGGGGTAGCTCCAATTGATGTGCGCACAGTAGTATGATATCCCAATAATGCAAACGACAACTTTCTTGGTGACAGACTTGAGAGTGATTGCTTCAACCCATTTTGTAAAGTAGTCAATGGCAACTAGTATGAATCTGTGTCCATTTGAGGCTTTTGGCTCAATTGGCCCAATGACGTCCATGCCCCAAGCAACAAATGGCCAAGGTGCAGACACGGGATGCAGTTTTGTGGGAGGTGAATGAATCAAATCACCGTGCACCTGACACTGATGACACTTCCGAACGAAACTAAAACAGTCCTTTTCCATGGTCATCCAGTAATAACCCGCTCGAGGGATTTTCTTTGCTAAAACATACCCATTCATGTGGGTCCCGCATACTCCCACATGTACCTCATGCATGATTCTTCCAGCCTCTTCTGTGTCAACACATCTTAACAAATTGAGGTCCGGAGTTCTCTTGTATAAGACATCCCCACTCAAAAAGAAACCACTTGCGTGCCGCCTAATGGTTCTCTTTTGGTCTCCACTGGCTTGCTTGGGGTATTCTTGAGTTTTCAGAAACTTTTTGATGTCATGGTACCATGGTTGGGTATTTGGTGCTGCTTCAATTGTATTACAATAACCATGCCTTTCCCGGATTTGAATTTCCAAGGGATCTATGTGAGCATTGCCGGGATATGGCAGTATTGAGGCCAAAGTAGCAAGTGCGTCAGCTAATTCGTTGTGACAACGAGGAATGTAACTGAACTCTATTGACTTGAATCGCTTGCTGAGGCCTTCCATATGCTTTTTGTAAGGGATAAGCTTAACATCTCCGGTTTCCCATTCGCCTTGGGCTTGCCGGATAATCAGATCTGAGTCTCCTATAATCAACAACTCTTCGACATTTTGGTCGATTGCCATGTTTATACCCATAATGCAAGCTTCATACTCGGCGGTGTTGTTTGTACAGAAGAACCGAAGCCGAGCTGTGGCTGGATAGTGCTGACCAGTGGGTGAGATCAAAATTGCCCAAATTCCAACACCTTTTGCGTTTACCGCCCCATCAAAGAACATTTTCCAAGTATGAGTGTCTTCAGATATTGTCTCAACTGAATTTACTTCTTCATCTGGGAAGTAAGTTCTCAAAGGTTGGTACTCATCATCAATCGGGTTCTCAGCCAAATGATCTGCTAATGCCTGGGCTTTCATTGCCGTGCGAGTGATATAGACTATGTCGAATTCAGTAAGCAAGATTTGCCACTTTGCTAATCTCCCAGTAGGCATCGGTTTCTGGAATATGTACTTCAAAGGATCCAACCTGGTTATGAGGTAAGTAGTATGTGCTTGGAGATAATGTCTCAATTTTTGAGCGACCCAAGTCAAAGCACAACACATTCTTTCCAACAAAGTATACTTGACCTCATAACCGGTGAACTTCTTGCTTAAGTAATAGATCGCCTGCTCTTTCTTTCCAGTTATGTCATGTTGTCCGAGGACACAACCGAAAGAATTTTCCAAGACCGTCAGATACAAGAACAGGGGTCTCTCTGGCTCTGGCGGGACCAAAACTGGAGGATTTGAAAGATACTCTTTGATCTTGTCAAAAGCCTCTTGACACTCAGCCATCCATTTGATTGCTGCATCCTTCCTCAATAGCTTGAATATGGGCTCATATGTGCTAGTCAGTTGGGCAATGAATCAACTGATATAGTTTAACTTGCCCAATAGACTCATCACGTATTTCTTCGTTCTTGGAGGAGGTAGATCTCGGATAGA